GCATGTATGCAACAATGGTGCAACAGCTCCAGGATGGATTCCACTGCAACAGGTGTGAGCAGGTTGCCCATCTGGAAGCTCACGTTAGAGATCTGGAGGAGCAAGTTGCAACACTGGGCAGAACTCACTACCTTGAAAGGGGTCTTCTGCTCCTTGAGCAGGTAGCTAATGGGATTGATATGGAGGGTGGAGGGGCTAATCAGGATTATCAGGTAGGAAAATGGGTTACTGTAGCAAGAGGGAGTGGTAGGGGCTCACAAAAAAGGAAGGCTGGCCCTGGGTTTGTGCACCCAAACAGATTTGCCAAGTTGGGTGAAGATGTGGGGGTGGCAAGCCCAGGGGTGGCAGCCCTGGATGTTACAGCTATCCCTAACAGCCGTGAGGGTAGACCATCTGTAAGGGGTGGTGAGGGTAGTGCAGGAAGGCCTAGACAGTTGGTGGTAGTAGGGTATTCTATAATCAGAAAGACTGATAGAATAAATTGTCGCCGGGATCGCCTCAACCGAATGGTTGTGCCAGGGTTCGGCATGTGGTGGACCGGTTGATAAATTACTGGGAGGGGCTTGGCATGACCCAGCTGTCTTGGTCCATGTTGGAATCAATGACAGAATACATGGAAGGTGGAGGCTCCTTAAGAATCAATTCATAGAACTAGACTGCAAGTTGAAGGGAAGGACCTCCAAGGCTGAAATATTACCTGTGCCATGTGCAACTCAGGAAAGACAAAGGGAAATTAGAGAACTAAATGCATGGCTAAAGACTTGGTGTAAGAGGGGAAGGATTTGGGTTTCTAGAGCACTGGGCTGAATTTTCATTGGGGTGCAACCTATATGCTAGAGATGGTTTGCACCTAAATGGAAGGGGGTCTGCTGTGATGGAGGAGAGGTTTATGGGGAGGCTGAAGGAGTATTTAAATTAGGATCAAGGGGGAGGGAGAATTAGATTATAGTGGGGTTGACAGATCAGGCAGGGGTCAGTTCTTATGGGTGAGTGGAATGGGGAAAGATGGGAGGAGGGCTATGGCAGATGATAAGAAGGTTCCCATGTTAAAAAACAACCATTGGAATTGGTACCATTTGTATGAAAATAAAAAATATGCAAAATACGTGTGCACAAGTTGTCAATGAATTATTGTGTTTGTTTACCAATACCAGATGTCTGCCAAGCATAATAGGTGAGTTAGAAGCTTTGTGCATGAACAGAACTATGATTTAATTGGTATTGCTGAATCTTGATTTAATTTTTCACATGACTGGGCCATTAATATTCCTGGCTATGTTCTCTTTCGGAGGGACAGGGTAAAAAGAAAAGATGGTGGTGTCTGTCTCTATGTGAGAAGTGATCTCAGAGTGAGTGTGAAAGAGGGCCTAATTGATGGATAGTGTGATGAGGCTGAAGCATTATGGGTGGAACTGCACATGGGGGTGCATACTACAAAGGTAATCATTGGAGTTTGTTATAGGCCTCCCAGTGTTCATCAGGAGGTGGAGACTCAGCTCCTTGCACAGATCGAAAGGGCTGCAAGGGCTGGGACAGTGATAATAATGGGGGATTTTAACTACCCGGAAATTTATTGGAGTAATGGTACTGCAGGAACAGTTAAAGGGTAAAAATTTATAAACCTACTATAGGACAATTTTATGGTACAGTTAATGAGGCCCCAACTAGGAATGATGCTGTGCTGGACCTGGTAATCTCAAACCATGCAGAGCTTATTATGAATGTCCATATAAAATAACATCTGGCTAGCAGTGACCATAACATGATTTCATTTATTGTTAGCTGTAAACAGCAAGCACATATGGGGAAAAAAATGCTCAATTTTAAGAGAGCTAATTTTCCAAGACTGAGAGTTGCTCTCCAAGACTTAGACTGGGAGGGAATATTGGCATAGATGAACACAACACAGAAATGGGAGTTCTTCAAAAAGACTTTATGTGAACACACTGCAAAATATATTCCCATGGGCAATAACTTTAAAAAGCTAAAAATCAAACCTATGTGGCTTATGGCCAAAGTTAAAAAAAAGCTATAGATAATAAGAAAAGAGCTTTTATTAAATATAAAAATGAAGGAACGCTATCATCATTTAAACATTACAAAGAATATAACAGAATATGCAAAAAGAAAATAAAGGCAGCAAAATTGAAAACAAACGACAGATTGCAAATGATAGCAGGACAAACGCAAAAAAAATTCTTCAAATATATTAATAGTAAAAAGGTCAGGTCTGAGTATGTAGGCCCTTTACAAAATAATCTAGAGTGGGTGACTGGGGACAAAGAGAAGGCACGTTTATTAAATACCTTCTTCATCTCTGTGTATACAAAGGAGCATGAGGGAGCTCTTGTCCATAATGGGCATGCTATTGACACAGCTCCAGATGATCCACATTGGCTCACAATTGATATGATCCAGAAATATTTAGACAGTATAAATGTGAATAAAGCACCTGGACTGGATGGCATACACCCACGCGTCCTTAAAGAATTGAGCTCTGTCATTTCAAAACCATTGTTTCTAATTTTTAGGGACTCTTTAATGACTAGCATAGCACTACTGGATTGGTGTAAGGCCAATATGGTGCCTATATTTAAAAGGTGTCAAAATCTTTACCAAGTAAGTATAGACCAGTTAGTTTAACTTCTATAGTTGGGAAGATACTGGAGAGTTTAATAAAAGACCACATAGATGAGTTCTCGCTGGAAAAAAATATTTTAAGCAACAGACAGCATAGATTCATGAAAGACAGAAGTTGTCAAACAAATCTGATATATTTTTATGAGGAGGTGAGCAAAATCTTGGACAGAGGGGTGGCGGTGGACGTGGTATACTTGGATTTTGCAAAAGCATTTGACACAGTTTCCCACACGGTAATGTGTAAGGTAACGTCTACAGGCTTGGAAAAATCCATATGTAAATGGATAGAAAACTGGCTAAAAGATCGTATTAAAAGAGTAGTGGCTAATGATCAGGCGCGGACTAACAACTCATGGGGCCCCCGGGCAATTGGGGATCATGGGGCCCCTGTGTTCTTGCCCAAACTAAAAAAAGCCTATGAAAAAGTGAAAAAGGTACCAGGGGCATCTAATGGGGCCCCCTACTGACCCCGGGCCCTCGGGCAGTGCCGAGTTTCCAAATGGTCAGTCCGCCCCTGCTAATGATTCATACTCTGAATGGGCTAGGGTTGTCAGTGGTGTACCCCAAGGTTCCGTGTTGGGACCCTTACTTTTTTTTAATATATTTATAAACAATATAGGGTGTGGGATTATAAATACCATTTCAGTCTTTGCAGATGACACCAAGCTGTGCAGTGGAATAACGTCCTTACAGGATGTCTTCAATTTACAAGCCGACCTCAATGCATTGTTTAATTAGGCAACTATGTGGCAAATGAGGTTTAATGTTGATAAATGTAAGGTTATGCACTTGGGGGCTAAGAATTTGTATGCATCATATATACTGGGGGGGGGGGGTACAACTGGGGGAATCAATGGTGGAAAAGGATCTGGGAGTTCTGGTAGATCACAAGCTTAATAATAGCATGCAATGCCAAGCTGCTGTTTCTAAAGCGAGCAAAATCCTCTCTTGTATTAAAAGCAGTATAGACTCCAGAGAGAGAGAAATATCATATTACCTCGGTACAAATCATTAGTAAACCTCAATTTTGGGCACCAATTCACAAAAGAGCATTGGGGAACTGGAGAAAGTACAGAAAAGGGCAAGCAAATTGATTAGAGGCATGCAGGAGCTCAGCTATAAGGAAAGATTAGAGGAACTGAATTTATTCTCTCTTGAGAAGAGGAGATTAAGGGGGGATATGATCAACAAGTATAAATACATCAGTGGTTTATGTAGTGAACTCAGTGTAGAGTTATTCACCCTTAGGTCATCACAGAGGACAAGGAGGAGCTCTTTACATCTGGAGGAAAAGAAATATATAAATCTAAATACGGAAAGGCTTCTTCACAGTAAGAGCTGTGAAAATGTGGAATAGACTCCCTCAAGAATTGGTTCTGGCCAGCTCAGTGGATTGCTTTAAAAAAGGCCTGGATTCATTCTTGGATACACAGAATATAACTGGATACTAACATTTATAGGTAAAGTTGATTCGGGGGATTAGAAAGGAATTTTTTCCCCTAAAGGAGCAAATTGAATCATGCTTTGCTGGGTTTTTTGCCTTCCTCTGGATCAACTATGGGTGTAGGATTATAACATTTTTTTTATGGTTGAACTGGATGGACTTTTGTCTTTTTTTGGCCAGACTAACTATGTAACTATATGTAACTAGCTGTGATTGACAGCAGTGGGAGCCAATGAGGAGAGGGAGTCCCGGGATAGCCAAGACTCCAGTGTACATTGCTGGATCGAGAGGGGGCTTAGGTGAGTATTAGGGGGGCTGCTGCACAGAGTAGGTTTTTTCCCTTCATGCATAGAATGCATGAAGGTAAAAACAACTTTGATCCTTTAGAACCACTTTAACTTTTTTTTCATAATTGAATTCTGTGCCAAAAAAAAAGAAAAAAAAATATATGCCGAAGCATAGGAGTGATCAGCCCACTGACCACCCCAGGCCCTTCATGCTTTGGCATGGTTCTTTTTTAGCTGCAGATGAGAAATCTTCTGCAGCTCTGCAGGCACTGACATATACTGTATGTTCTGAGAGCAACACCCTGTTGCTGTCAGAATAAACAGATCTGTGTTGCAGCTGATTGGTGTTTCTGCAAAGCAAACAACAATGGTCAACAATAAAACATCGTAACAATATAACAGTAACTCAATAATACAACTTTGTTTTATTTTTTTTTGTACTTTTTTCAACTTTTTTTTAACTTATCAGAACTGTAACTGTAAAACTTTCCAGCCTGGGGAGATACTGCTTGAATGCAAGGTTGCCAGTAAAATGTGTGAGGGACTCGTTTATGCAGATGTTTAGTTGGGGTGTATGCACATCTGCAAATTTCTCAATGAGATAGTTTCTAAGGGGACGAATTTTGTACAGCCGATCCTATTCAGGGTCAACCCAAGAATGACAGAGTGCGTTATCACTAAAATGACTGAAACGCATTATCATTTCATATCACTTCCTGGCCATTGCAGCAGAGAACATGGGCAGATGATGAATCAGTTCTGTGGACCAATATGACCGCAATTCATTCTTTTTTCTAATGCCCATGTTAAGGGTGAGGCCCACAAAGTTTTGAATTTAGAAACTGTGAAAGGTTTCCATGTGAATCGTCTAGGCAATAGTTGAATTTGGGTTGGCCGTGATATATTGTTATGCGTATAAATTGCTTTGGTCCACAATCAAATTATACAGTTCTTCCATGTAAAACGGCTAAAAAAAAACATCAGTGGGATGTTAGATTTGTTGTTAAATTTGCTGTTTCCACATGAATTTCAGGCTGGGCAATAAATGGGTATATAACGGATGCTGCTGAATCTGTGGGCTTCCAATCAGGATTTGCAAGCACATCTGGAAGGACACTATGGGCTCTACAGTCAAATGCAGACAGGTATTCTGATGGTTACACCTGATATAAGGGGGAACTCTGATGGGGACACCTGGTGTAAGGGGGCATTCTGATGTGGATAACTGATCATATGTAAGGGGACACTAATGGGGACTCTGATGTAAGGGGGCACTCTAATGGACACCCTGATGTAAGGGGGCACATGATGTAAAGGGGCACTCTAATGGGGATACCTGATGTAAGCGGGCACTCTGATTGGGACACATGATGTAAGGGGGCACTCTAATGGGAACCTGATGTAAAGGGGGATGCTGATGAGTACTCATAATGTAAAGAAGAACTCTGATGAGGGCTCTTGATGGAAAGGGTGACTCTGATAAGGTAATTTGTTAGGGGGCACAGGTTTTATTTAATCACCTTACTCTAATGACAAATTAATACATAATAGTGTTTCTCAGGTTGTGAAGCTGTGCAACAGACTGTCAGTGACTCATATAAAGAGTGTACATTATGCCCCCTGATAATTTTACTGCACCCCCAGATCAGATAGGCTAGAGCCGGCCCTATAGGTACCTAGTGTCACTCACGGGCAAAAAGATTCCTGGTTGACAGGGACTACTTGAACTTGTCTGATCAGGCTTGATTCTGCTAATGCTGTGGTTTTGTGTACAATTTATCATAGGTGACGGTGATCTGCTGACACTGCTCTTTTTTTGGCGGGGGGGTAGTTTAGTTCTGTTCGTGATCAGTATATATTGCTCTGCAAAGACACTATGTGGTTGCTTTACTAAAATTAGAGAGTTCAAAATCTGATGCAGCTCTGCATAGAAATCAGCTTCCATTTTTTTTTTTTTTGTCAAAGCTTAATTGAACAAGCTGAAGCTAATTTGCTACCATGCACAGCTGCACAAAATTTTGCACTCTCCAGTTTTAGTAAATCAACCAATATACTAGCAATGGCGGTGATCAGCATCCTATAGTGTGAGTGCTATAGTGTGCGGTCAGTCTAATGCTTGCTGACCCTGGCTGGGAGGGATGCTAACTGATGTCGCTAGTGGCAGTAATACTGTGATCAGTGACGGGTACGTCACTGTGACTATATGGGCCACTCGTCCGCAGTACATTGTGAGCGGGCGGTTCAGAACTCGCTAATAGAGATTCAGCGCATGTGTAGACACACTGTGAGTCTCTTCCTGGTTCTGTAGCCTTCGTAGCGTGTCTGTCAAAAGCAAACAAGAATTCCCAGCTCACTTACCAGCTAGCCTGCAGCAAACCCAAATTGATCCTAACAGTCCACATAAAAAACAAGTGGTTTAGTCGCACACATTTGCTAATTTGCTCCCAGGGTGGAGCACATATGTCAGTGGATAGATTTAGGGCAGGTTTGCCTGGAGGGAGCCCACCCTTCCTTAAAAGTACAGGGACACATGCGACACTCATCAATGACACAATGACAGCTGAAGGTGAGTCCCTGCACCAATTTGCTAACTTGACAAACAAATGGCATTCAACCCAACCTATAACTAGCCTTTGCAGCAAGGAGCACATGGTACATTTCTGTAGCCCCTGTGGCATGTCTGTGCATGTGCAGGTCTTGCAAACTGCCTCCTGGGATGTCTACATCAACCATTTCAGGAGGCAGGTTGTGAGACCTTGTGCATGATGTGATCCCGTCTTTGATGTGTTTCCTCCTGATCACCACCACATCAGTACAGTGCCACCAGAGCCAGTGCAGCCAGCAACAGTGTCCCTTATCACAACCACACCAGTGCAGTGTTGCCTCTGCCTGCCACCTGTACTGAGCCTGGCCTCTTTAATGATCATGTTTCTGCCTGCTGCCTGTTTTCAGACCATGTCTGTGCCTGCCACCTGAACTGACCCATGCAAGTCCTACTGACTATGTTTTGGCAAGACACTAGTCTCAGCCATCCCTTGTGGACTATTGCACTCCTCAAACCACAGAAACCCTTTTGTTCTTCCTTTTTTCAGCCTCCTGTACTTCTTAGTCAGTGAACATTGCATTCCTGGGGGCAGACAACACCAGTAGGCTGGGCTTGCTTGGATTATAGGAACGAGGACTGCTACAGGGGATGCTACACTAAGCTATATTCCCTGATCACTCATACAGAGGCAACTATTACCATATGCTGGTTTTTTATATAATTGGTTGATTATCGTGATACACAAGTTACAATGTCCAGTACATACAGTCAGGTCCATAAATATTGGGACATCAACACAATTCTAACATTTTTGGCTCTATACACCACCACAATGGATTTGAAATGAAACGAACAAGATATGCTTTAACTGCAGACTGTCAGCTTTAATTTGAGGGTATTTACATCCAAATCAGGTGAATGGTGTAGGAATTACAACAGTTTGCATATGTGCCTCCCACTTGTTAATGGACCAAAAGTAATGAGACAGAATAATAATCATAAATCAAACTTTCACTTTTTAATACTTGGTTGCAAATCCTTTGCAGTCAATTACAGCCTGAAGTCTGGAATGCATAGACATCACCAAACGCTGGGTTTCATCCCTGGTGATGCTCTGCCAGGCCTCTACTGCAACTGTCTTCAGTTCCTGCTTGTTCTTGGGGCATTTTCCCTTCAGTTTTGTCTTCAGCAAGTGAAATGCAAGCTCAATCGGATTCAGGTCAGGTGATTGACTTGCCATTGCATAACATTCCACTTCTTTCCCTTAAAAAAACTCTTTGGTTGCTTTTGCAGTATGCTTTGGGTCATTGTCCATCTGCACTGTGAAGTGGCGTCCAATGAGTTCTGAAGCATTTGGCTGAATATGAGCAGATAATATTGCCCGAAACACTTCAGAATTCATCCTGCTGCTTTTGTCAGCAGTCACATCATCAATAAATACAAGAGAAGCAGTTCCATTGGCAGCCATACATGCCCACGCCATGACACTACCACCACCATGCTTCACTGATGAGTGGTATGCTTAGGATCACGAGCAGTTCCTTTCCTTCTCCATACTCTTCTCTTCCCATCACTCTGGTACAAGTTGATCTTGGTCTCATCTGTCCATAGGATGTTGTTCCAGAACTGTGAAGGCTTTTTTAGATGTCATTTGGCAAACTCTAATCTGGCCTTCCTGTTTTTGAGGCTCACCAATGGTTTACATCTTGTGGTGAACCCTCTGTATTCACTCTGGTGAAGTCTTCTCTTGATTGTTGACTTTGACACACATACACCTACCTCCTGGAGAGTGTTCTTGATCTGGCCAACTGTTGTGAAGGGTGTTTTCTTCACCAGGGAAAGAATTCTTCGGTCATCCACCACAGTTGTTTTCCGTGGCCTTCCGGGTCTTTTGGTGTTGCTGAGCTCACTGGTGCGTTTCTTCTTTTTAAGAATGTTCCAAACAGTTGTTTTGGCCACGCCTAATGTTTTTGCTATCTCTCTGATGGGTTTGTTTTGTTTTTTTCAGCCTAATGATGGCTTGCTTCACTGATAGTGACAGCTCTTTTGGATCTCATCTTGAGAGTTGACAGCAACAGATTCCAAATGCAAATAGCACACTTGAAATGAACTCTGGACCTTTTATCTGCTCATTGTAATTGGGATAATGAGGGAATAACACACACCTGGCCATGGAACAGCTGAGAAGCCAATTGTCCCATTACTTTTGGTCCCTTAACAAGTGGGAGGCACATATGCAAACTGTTGTAATTCCTACACCGTTCACCTGATTTGGATGTAAATACCCTCAAATTAAAGCTGACAGTCTGCAGTTAAAGCACATCTTGTTTGTTTCATTTCAAATCCATTGTGGTGGTGTATAGAGACAGAAATGTTAGAATTGTGTCGATGTCCCAATATTTATGGACCTGACTGTAACCAGTCCAAACATTTAAAAAGTCTCACACGTGGTTTCCACATACTCGGGAGGAGTAGCAGAATGTGTTTTGAGATGTAATTCTAAGTATGCCCATGCTGTATGTGAAAAATATCTTATTAAATTGACCTAGTGTAAAAAATCATGCCCCTTAGAAGACACCTTTGGGTGTTTGCTTTACAAAATGTGGTAATTTTGTGGGTGTTTCCACTGTCCTGGTTCTCCAGGACTTCCAAAAATGGGATATGTCAAAAATAAGATTTGGGCTCCTAGAATCCTAGTACTCCTTGGATTTTAAACCTCTCCTTGTGGCTAGGCTGTAAAAATGTCTCACATATGCAGTATTAACATATTTGAGATGAGTAGCAGAATGTGTTTTCAGTTGTAATTCAAAGTATGCCTATGCTGTTTAAAAAAAAAAAATGTCATTTTCCATAACTTGTGGCAAAAAAATGACATTTTCGAAAGACTTACTTATGCCTTTCAAAAAATACCTTGGACTGTTTGCTTTCCAAAATATGGTTGTTTTGTGGGCATTTCTACTGTCCTGGCACTTCAGAGACTCAACAGCAGTAAGGAAATTAGACACGTAATTTAGGCTTCTTAAAAGCCCAAAATTGCTCCTTGAATTTTGGTCCCTTCTATGCATCTAGACCAGGGGTCTCCAAACTTTCTAAACAAAGGGCCAGTTTACTGTCCTTCTGATTATAGGAGGGCCAGACTGTGATCAGTGAGAGTAGAACATGCTTGGGACTTGGTGGTCTGTGAAAGTAAAGAAAAAATCATACTGCCTGTGGTCAATAGGAGGAAAATGAGTGCCCCATCATTGGTATTAGTGGGAGGAATAGTGCCCCATCATTGGTATTAGTGGGGTGGGGGGAGTGCCCCATCATTGGTGTCAGTGGAAGGAATAGTGTCCCATCTTTGGTGTCAGTGGATGGGATAGTGCCCCATTGATGTTGTCAGTGAAAGGAATAGTGCCTCATCTTTGCGGTCAGTGGAAAGAAAAATTCCCCACTGTTGGTGTCCATAAGAGGAAATATGCCCCACCATTGGTGTCCGTGAGAGAAAATATGCTCAGTCAGTAGAAGGAAAAATACTTGTATCAATGACAGGAATAGTGCCCCAAGGGCAAGCAAAGGGCTGCATGCAGCCCATGGGACACAGTTTGG